GCACGGGCTTAGTTGCTCCGCAGCATGTGGGATCCTCCCAGACCAGGGCTCGAACCCGTGTCCCCTGCATTGGCAGGCGGATTCTTAAGCACTGCGCCACCAGGGAAGTCCCTCTCCCATTCTTTCTTTGGAGCTAATTATGAGTTATTTTACAAATACTTGGCTGTTTTTGTGAGAAAGCATCTTGGATTGCAGGATGACAGGAGCCTGTATCTAAAACGACAGGTGTCATCGTGCCGTCAGGCTGGACGGGGAAGACGCCCATCTGTCTGACAGTCCTCACTGTGTAACAGGGTCTCGCAAGCCGGGGTCAGGACTCATTTGAAACAAGCCACTGAGTTGCCCTTGTGCGCTTGGAGAGTTGGCGTGGAACCTGGTGGTTGTGTAGATGTGTGGATGGCAGTTGGGTGAAGGGAACATTTGTTTCTTAGCCTCGATAGTTGGGAGTCTGGAGTCGGTATCCTGGTGAGAAGGGCCTGGGTCCCACGCCAGGCTCGCCCACACTGTGTCCCAGGCACTGACCCTGGTTCCTAGGAAAACCAGCCTCTGAAGAGCCAGAGCAGGAGAGAGTTCCCCACTGGAGACCCAGCATCTCCTGAGTGCTGCCTGTAAGTCGGAGTTGGGAGTCCTGAGCCAGTGCTTCAGTGACCAGGAGCCTCTGCATTCTTCCCCAAATGTGGCACTGCTGGGACCTGGGTCCTCAGGAACCAAGGAAGGTCAGAGAAAGAGGTGGTGTGGGGAACCACACATGGATGCCTCTGATTCTCCAATCACTGTTTCAAAGTTAGTACGATTATTAGACTTCTTTTTAACTGTAAAATATTACATAACAGAATTTACCATTTTAACCAGTTTTATGTGTACGGTGCAGTGGCATTGAGTACATTCACATCATCGTGCAACCATCACCACCTTGCATCTCTCTCCAGACCTTTTTTTTATCATCCCAAACAAAAACTCTGTTCCCACTAAACTCTGTCTCCCCCTCCTCCCCGCAGCCACAGGCAAACACCCCTCTACTTTCTGTCTCTATGAATTTGACTACTCTGGTAATCTTACGTAAGTATCGCAGGATATTTGTTCTTTGGTGACAGGCTTATTTCACTTGGCATAATGTTGTAGCATGTGACAGAATTTCCTTCCTTTTTAAGGCTGAATAATGTTGCATTGTGTATATATATCACATTTTCTTTACCCATTCATCCATTGATGGGCACTTGGATTGCTTTCATCGTTCGGCTATTGTGAATAATGCTGGAATGAACGTGGCTGTTTTGGGAGGAGTCGAAATACCTGTTCAGCTTCCAACTTTCAATTCTTTGGGGAATGTATACAGAAGTGGAATTTCTGGATTACATAAGGTAGTTGTATTTTTAATTTTTTGAAGAACCTCCATATAGATTTCCAGAGTGACTGCACCATTTTACATCCCCACCAGCAGTGCACAAGCGTTCCAATTTCTCCACATCCTTGCCAACACTTGTTTTCTGATTTAAAAAAAAAAAAAAAGCCCCCTTTTTTTTTTTTTTATAAGAATCATCCTAATGGGTGTAAAGCAGTATCTGTCTCATTGTGGGACTGGTTTGCATTTCCCTCATTTTTAGTGATGTTGAGCATATTTTCATGAGCTTGTTGACCATTTATATCTTATTTGGAGAAATTTAAATCCATTGTTCATTGTTTTTTTTAAGTTGTAGGAGTTCTTTATATATTCTGGATATTAAGCTCTTATCAGATACATGACTTAACAGATATTTTCTCCCACTCTTTGGGTTGCCCTTTCATTCTGTTGGTAGTGTCCTTTCTTGCCCAAGTTTTAAATGTTTCTTAAGTTCAATTTATCTAGTTTTTCTTTTGTTGCCTGTGCTTTTTCGTTTCATATCCAAGGAATCATTGCCAAATCCAATGTCATGAAGCTTTTCAAAGTGTTTCTGCTAAGAGTTTTATAGTTTTAGTTCTTACATTTATGTCTTTGATACATTTTGAGTTAATTTTTATACATGGTGTGAGGTAAGCTTCATCTTTCACATGTGGATATCTGGTTTTCCAAGCAACATTTGTTGAAAGACTGTCCTTTCCCATTGAGTAATCTCGGCACCCTTGTCAAAAGTCATTTGGCCACATACGAGGGTTTATTTCTGGGTTATCTATTCTATTCCATTGGTCTGTATGTCTGCCTTTTTGGCAGCATCCTACCATGTTTATTACTGTAGCTTTGCAGTAAATTTTGAAATCAGGAAGTGTGAGACCACCCACCAAATTGTTCTTTTTAAGATTGTCTTGGCCAGTTGGGGACCGCTGTCATTCCGTGTGAGTTTTAGGGTGGATTTTTCTCTTTCTGCAAAAGCGTTGTTGGGATTTTTATGTAGGTTTGTGTTTGAATCTGTAGATCATTTTGGGTGGTAATGATGTCTTAACATTAGTAAGTCTTCTTACTCATGATCCCAGAGTGTCTTTCCATTTATTTGTGTCTCCTTTCTTTCGCTTTATAGGTTTTTTTTTAATTTTTTTTTATTATTATTTATTTTATTTTTGCTGTGTTGGGTCTTCGTTTCTGTGAGAGGGCTTTCTCCAGTTGTGGCAAGCGGGGTTCTCTTCATCATGGTGCGCGGGCCTCTCACTATCACGGCCTCTCCTATTGCAGAGCACAGGCTGCAGACGCACAGGCTCAGTAGTTGTGGCTCACGGGCCTAGTTGCTTCGCAGCATGTGGGATTCTCCCACACCAGGGCTCGAACCCGTGTCCCCTGCATTAGCAGGCAGAGATTCTCAACCACTGCGCCACCACGGAAGCCCCTATAGTTTTATAGTTTCAGTGTACAAGTCTTTTATTTCCTTGGTTAAGTTTATTCCTATTTTATTCTTTTTGATGCTACTATAAATGGAATTGTTTTCTTAATTTCTTTTTCAGATTGTTCATTGTTAGAATTATAGAAACACAGTTGGTTTTTGTTTGTTGATTTTCTATCTTGCAACTTTGCTAAATTCATTTTTTAGTGTTAGCAGTTTTTTGGTTTGTTTTTAATCAGGAAGAAAACCATTTATTTTAAAATAGTGTTGGCAAAAATTTTCTTTGGAAAAAAACCATTTTAGTTGTTGGACGAACGTGGTAAAAAGTATGAAAAGATAAGCTTCAGTCTAGTTTCTTTTTTTTTTGCGGTACACGGGCCTCTCACTGTTGTGGCCTCGCCCGTTGCGGAGCACAGGCTCTGGACGCGCAGGCCCAGCGGCCATGGCTCACGGGTCTAGCCGCTCCGCGGCATGTGGGATCTTCCCGGACCGGGGCACGAACCCCTGCATCGGCAGGCAGACTCTCAACCACTGCGCCACCAGGGAAGCCCTGGTCTAGTTTCTTGAAGGAATGATAAGAACCAAGTAAGAGCTCTCTGAAATGCTTCACTTAAAAAGAGGATCATGGCGGGGGGGATAGAATAAAAGATGTAAGTTGGGTCTTGAGGAAAAGGTGGGACTTGAGAAACATGGAAAAAGACAGGAGCGAACCAGGAGGCAGTCTGCACAGGTGGTGGATACTTCAGGAGGGACCAAGGAGTATTTCGATGGGCACCTGGGCCACCTCTGGCTAATGAACCAGCTAACGGGGAGAGGAGAAGGTCAGAACCACGGGTAACGAACACTGGATTATGAGCCACTGTGAGCTGGTGCTGAAGTTTTCACCCATCATTAGAAAAACCAGTGCACCAAAGTGAGGTCTTCATAAAAGACAACCAAAACAATAGTCTTTTATTGTGAAAAGTTTTGACGTTAAATGTCCTTTTTAAATGAAATGTTGGTGATACAGATGATTTTTATCTGGTAAGTATATTTTGCTGGTCTATAAAACAGAAAAGTTTGGGAAATACTAGTCTAAACATCTCATGGCTATATGAGATTCCTTATCACTAAAATAGTGTAGGATGTTTTTCACCTGTAGCTTATATTTAATTCCAAAATCTAATGAAGAGTCCCCCCAAAAAAGTGTGGGCCTATATCATGTATATGTATAGATAAAAAAGCTTAAATAAAACACCACCAAATAAAATTCAGGACTATTTTTACCCCTATGCCTCATAATCGTAATATGATAAAACAGTTGTGTGCAACACAACCTAGTTATGTTATTCTTTTTTATATTTTTGCATAACATGTATTCTTTTTAGTGAATTATCTAGTTACTATATTCATCTTGAACCTACCTGTCTACCTTCAAATATTATACTTCACCTATAATGCAAGAATCTTACAACTGTAGATTTCTATTTCTACCCCCCATCCTTGGTGCTATTGTTTACATGTTTTATTTCTATATATGATATTAACCCCACAATACATCATTATTACTTTTGCACTAGACTATGCATTCTTTTTTATTTTATTTTTTAATTTTATTTTTGGCTGCATTGGGTCTTCGTTGCTGCGTGCAGGCTTTCTCTAGTTGTGGCGAGTGGGGTCTCGTCTTCGTTGCAGTGCGCGGGCGTCTCATTGCGGTGGCTTCTCTTGTTGCGGAGCATGGGCTCTAGGCACGAGGGCTTCAGTAGCTGTGGCACGCGGGCTCAGTGGTTGTGGGGCACAGGCTCGGCAGTTGTGGCACAAAAGTTTGGTTTTTTATGGCTGAGCAGTATTCCATTATATTATGTATATTTTATATCTATATGTACCACGTCTTCTTTATCCATTCGTCTGTTGGTGGACACTTAGGTTGCTTCCATATCTTGGCTATTGTAAATAATGCTGCTATGAACATGGGGGTGCATGTATCTTTTCAAATTGGTAATTTTGCTTTTCTTCAGGTATATGCCCAGGAGTGGGATTGCTCTATTTTTAGTTTTTTGAGGACCCTCCACTGTTTTCCAAAGTGTTATCAATCTCTCCTACAATTCTGACTGTAAGAAGTTTGCCCCTTTTCTTTAGAAGACCCTTGCCAGACCACTGACTTCCTGTCTTATGGGATGTTAAAAAAAAAAAAAAAAAAGCTGTTCCACACCAAATATCAGACGTCAAAAATGTAAAGTTGTGAGTTTATTGCATGTGTAACAAAATGAACCTGACCGCCGGGGCCCAGCCTGCTGTACAGTCACTGTTTGTTTTGTGTTTCCAGCTGGTTCTATAACCACATTAAATAGAACTAGTATTTCTTTAAATACTTTTGATTTTGACATAAAACAGAACATTTAGTGTACAACTTTCACAAAATAAATCAGCAATCAAAACAGTGGGAAGAAGGATAACAAGGATAGCAGCAATACTTAAAAACAAGACATTACAAAATAAATTAAAAAATACATTATAAAGTGGTTGAGAAACAAAAATAAACAAATTTTTAAAATTCATACTATGTTTTGGGAAGGCTGCCGTGCGGCACACACCTGGCTGCGGACGGGGGTGGAGGGGCGTTTTTCTCGGACAGCTCCGACCGGAGGACCACCTGACCTGCATTTGGACCACGCGGCCCGGCAAGCTCTGGGGCCGCAGTTCCAGGCGCTTCTCCCTGCGGGAGTCAGGAGAGCTCCGCCCACCGTCACCCCGGGGCCCTTCCGTTCTCCCCACAGCACTGGCAGAGCGGTGGTTTGCTACATCCCTGAGGGTCGGCTGATGACCGCTGGTGAGGCAAGCCTGGAAGTCGGGCCCTGAAGCATCTGGGCGGAGAGCTGAGGGGACCAGGTGGGTCGCTGGGGTTCCCGAGAAGGGCGACAGATGGCGAGGCTCCCGCAGACCCCAAAACCCACGGCTTGCCACACTATTCTTTGGTGGGGGTGGTCGGGGGGTGGGGAGTGTTCCAAAGGCCCAACCCACTGTGGACAGTTACGGTTCTAGGAGCAGTGCCACCGACAGCCCTGTTTGGCAGGAGTGACCTGGAGCTCCGGAAGGTTCTGCTGTGCCAGGCTCCACAACAACCCACGCAGCTGGTGAGGTGCCCGCGTCCCCGTACGAAAGCGGAGACCCAAGGCCTTGCGGGCAGGTAAGTCGACTTTCCCCAGCAGCCCGTGGAGGAGCCAGGACGTGAGCCTCTGGAGCTTGCCGAGGTGACACCTGACACGTGAGGGTGGCCTGGGGCCGGCAGGGGCACTGCCCACCCCACCCCCCCAGCCCCCGCCATCAGCAGGAAGGCAGCTTTAAAGGAGGCAAATGGCACATTCCTGCTTCCAAGTCTTTCCAACCACTAGACCCTTGTTTCCTTCCTAACTTACGGCGGATTTTGGCCGACACCACATGATAACTGGGTGGGCCTTCCCCCCTCAGTCTTGAGGGCCTCAGTTCCCGGATGGCAGTCTCCTCCTTGCGGTTTAGGTCCATGTTACAGAGGAGACCTGTCTGGCGGGTGAGAGTGGTGGGGGTCTGTCTGTATCATTCATTTCCTCATTCCTCCAGAGGAGGACCCACGGCAGCCAGCTTCCAGGACGCCAGAAGGTGTCATGGTAAACGAGACACAGGAGAAGCCCAACGGGCAAGGCGGGACTTCGGAAAGACTCAGCCCGCAGTCCATCCTGGATGTTCTGAACGGATTACATTCTCCTTCTGCAGCCAAGGCATCCTTCCTATTCTAGAACCTCAGCAAGTCACCCAGAAGCACGGCTTTCTCTCGCTCCTGGAACCTCCAGCCAGCGAACTCCGGCCCGCCAAACGTCAGACCACTGGCTGCTTCCCGGTCAAGCCGAAGAACCACAGCAAGGTGCAGAGGGTAAGTTAAGTGTGCCTCCAAACCTAGCACCGTCCACAGGCGTTAGTAACAAAAAGAACAGACGGGACAGTCGGCCAGAAAGCTCCTTCCAAACCCACCTCAGACCCACAGCTGGATCCCAGCACTGAACTCGGAACCTTACAACAAAACTTCAACAGTGAAAGGTCTTGCTAATGAATTACCCTGCACTCGCCCCCCCAAACAAAAACCACCACCATACGGGAGAACTTGCTGCCACTGCTGTTTTTCTGCTGAACTTTATCTGAAATCAAACCACTTTGTTAAAATGCTTTTTGATCTTCTGTGCAAATTGGGAAATGGTGGTAGAAACCTAGGGCCAAGGCTTGCTTTGGCCTTGCTCATATCTGGACAAGTGAATGGAGCAGCAGTTGTTAGTGTCACCATCAGACGTTGGGGAAGTGGGCTGAACGTGTCACGGTGGAGCGGCCCCTCTCTGCCTTCAGGTTTCCATCCACGGCCTACTTCTTGTAAACGAGTAACCTGGGGTGGATTTAGGTCATGGAGGTTATCCGTTCTCTCTCTCCCTTTCAAGCTAGTTTGCACCAAGCCAGCAGCTACAATGATGGAATCTTGTTCTATTAGTTTAGTGCTTTCCACAAAATGGTTTGTTGTTAGCATCCACGTGGCCCAGTCGACGCCCTTCCAAGTACAGGTGGGGGCAGTAGCCACAGCCTGCGCCTGGCTGCGAGCATCTGAAGCTGGGTTTGGGCTGCTTGTTTATAAGCTCTGTTATGTGGTGTTTTCGCTGGGAAAATATTTCAAACTGGATAGATAACGTGGCTAAAGGGACTCTTAAAAGGAAAGATCATTTTTCTTTATGCAAAACAGATTTTTCAGCCAGGAAACCCTGAAAAGAAATAAATACCCAGGCCTCCAGCACAAGCTGCCCCGATTCCCTTACCTTTCCAAAAGGGAAGCACAGTTTTGATGCCAGCTTCCTGCAGTGGCAGAATTCCAATAAGCATACATTATACGGTTATTGTTCAGGTAGAAATTAATCTGCTACCCAGAGCAGGCTGCTAGGATGTGAAATTTGGAATTTGAGCTGCTGAACTTGAAAACCTCAGGTCTGCTTGGAGACAGAAGAGCTAGTCCAGCTACCAGGGCCGAACCCTCAGGCAGCCCCGCTCAGCTCCATAACTGTGGGTCAAGACTCCTCTAAAGCCCACAGGGCAGTGAGCCTGTCCCCAGCAGCGTTACAACCGCAGCAGAATATCCTGTGTGGCCGAAGCGGTGCTAAACCTGGCTGCGTTTATTGGGTGGGTGATGGAGGGGGGGGGGGGGGGCGGGTTCTGTCAGGAGGAAAATATGGGTGAGAGCCACCAACTGAAGTCCCCCCGCCCCCTTTGCTCCCCCAACGAGAAGCAGGGGAGACAAGCCTTTCCCTCGGGTGTTCTAGGATTCCAGAGCCTCAGCCGGCCTCGCGGAGGCGCACAGAGAGCGTCGCTTGGGGTCTGGTGGCCGTGAGCTAGCATCTGCTGCCTTGGGCCGCACTTCACTCCACAGCAAACCCACAGGTCTCCTCCACTGCTGTCAGCAGCTTCTCATAGAGCTTCTCATATGACTCGTAGGGTGGAATGTCGATCCGGTTAAAGCTGGAACGGGACAGAAAGGTGAGAGACTCACTGCTGGTGCCGCCTGGCCTGAGGACCTGCTCCCAGGACAGGGTCAGGGCCAGGCCACAGCAGAGCCTTTGCGGCCACAAGCACACACATGGTGGGGACAGGGCAGAGAGGATGGGAAAGCATCTCATCCACCTAGTTCTGGGAGATGGATGAGAGTTTTCCCCTCTCCTCTGGTGCTTTTCTGCTTCTTAGGCAAAGATTTTCAGTCAGTCAACACAAAGCAAAACAAATCTTGTAAGATCTTCCAAGTGAGTATGTACTGGTTAGATTAGGACAAAGCTCTCAACTTGTTTTCACTGTTGTTTTGGGGAGAAGTTATTTCTCAGACCAGGAACACCACGTTTGCAGAGCACTGCAGTCCAGGCTGGCTGCAGTCAAATCACCACTAACAATTCATTGCCTGTGTATCTAATCCCGTGACTTAGATCTGAGCGCAAAACGGGGCAGTCTGGAGTATTTCCTGCAAAAACAGAAACTGTATCTCAAAAATAATAAAACGTCAGATCCCTGAGAGAGGATTAAACGACCGGGTTAGCATTTCCTCAGGGAAGTTCATTCCCAAAGCTATGCCCCAGAAGACACCTTTGTAGACGATATTTACCTCATAACAAATCAAACAATGCGAGATTCTGACTGAGAGGACATAGAGCGCCTCTTGAATTACCAGAGGTTAAGTGATTGAGGATGGCTTTTGTCAAGAAGGAATCGGGCTAAACTGTGTGGAGGCTTTTCAGGGGGCTTAGCACTGGACGTTCTTCACGTCCGTTTTACTCAAAGCACTAAACCATTAGAGGACACAGCCTGCTGGGGCGGGAGCAGCCCTGTGCGTTAGCATGCGCCACCCCGGGACGGCCATGCTGGGCGCAGACCCTGGGCCCGGGGAGGGCGCGTCCTCTATCTCAAGGACATGGAAACCCAGTTTGATGTCATGGACGGCGTGGGAACCCACAGCCTTGGTTCCCAACCAAGAACCTCCCATCACATCATGCATCCCGGCAACATTTGGAACTGACTCTCGTGAACCAGGGGTGGCTCTCGTCTCCAGAAATGGCTCCCAAAGTGCATGTAAGTGATTTGATTTTAAACCACAAAGGAAATAACCCACTACGGATACTGTTTAAGTGAAAATCAAGGGAGGAAACATTTTTCAATACACAAGGTGCATCTGTCATACGCAGAGTTCTAAGAGGAGACCAATAACTCCAAACTTAAAACTGCAGTGTTCCCTCCTGACACTGCACATGTGCGCGCGCGCACACACACGCACGCACGCATGCACGTGCGGCAGGACCCAGCGAGGTGACGACTGGGGCCGGGGAGCGGCTCCAACGTCAGTCACGTCTCCAGACAAAACTGGGTTCACGAAAGAGCCTTGTGCTGACCCTCACGTGCGTGCTGTCCACTGCAGAGTCCAAGTAAGAAAACAGCTCAGAAAAGTCACGCACGGAGACAGGCTCCCAGGGCGCTGGTCCTTACCAGGTGTGGGCCTTGGGCAGGTTGTCTGTGTTCGCGTCGATCAGGTGGATGGTGAACAGCCGCGGCCCTGCGGCGCCTGTAGAGCCTTACAAGACAGCATTCTAGTTAACACGCTTCAGAGGCCGAGGCTGGGCCCTTGTCGCCACCCCGAGGCCCTGGTGCTAGGCGGCCGTCCTGCCAGAAGGTCACGGGGCTCACACGGCCACACGAGCCTCTGCCCGCTTTCAGGATGCACCTACCACGACCATTAAGTGACTAACACCAGACATTTTAGAAAATCACAGGAGCAAGGCAGAGCAAAGGCGGGGACCGCTCTCCTCTCACCCGACCACGAGCCTGCTCCAGGGCGCTTATCTGAAAGCAAAATCTTTCAATCGCCAGTGATTTTTTTTTTTTTTTTTTAACAGAAATGTCTAGCAAGCAGGATATGGAGTCAGGAAACCTCCCCAGGCAGAGGCCCAGTGGCAAAAGAAAGACACAAAGGCTGGGACCAAAGCCCTAGGACGAAAAGTAATTTCTCTCACTCCAAGAGGGAGGAGTCGTCTACAGGGAAGGTACACGTGAAATCTATCTGCTCCCACTAAGTTTTAATATATTAAGATTCTTCACCTTCTTCCGGTTGTCAGGGTTATCAAGTGACAAAACCCCCAAATTTTACAAATCACAGAGCCCTAAAGAGGCCTTCAAGGACTTTCCCAGTTGGCTGTGCTGACCACGAGCCCCTCCAGAGGCTCAGAAGCCTCGTTGTGGACAGCCTCCCACTCCCTCCTCCTCCAGCCCCCAGCTCCAGACCCAGGTGAGCCAGAGACCCAGCCAGAGCCGGAAGGGATGCGTGAGAGGACGGGGACCTAACTGGACAGGGGAGCCTCTCAGGCAGGCCCCTTGTACAGATGAGGAAACCAAGGGCCCGGGAGGACCTCTGGAGCTGTGACCCACACGGCAGCAGTGTGCTCTCAGAGACTCAGGACTGCAGTTAGAGAGCTGCTGTCAGAAAGTTCAAAAATTAACCCATGGTGCATTTTTAAATGGCTTTCTTTCCCCAAAGCCTTGCTCTTTGTACCCCCTCTCTGTCACCAATTCTGTTGAGGGAGGGAAGCAGAGACCCCGGCTCCCCTGGGCCTTCCTGGCTCAGGTCTTTCCAGACCCAGCCCTGTGTGGGCACCAGCCGGCCGGCACCCACCACTGCTGTGTCATGTGGCTCAGAGGCCCTGGGAAAGGTGGTCTGAGGTGGGCGGGGCTCTGTGTGATGCACATGCCCTCCTACATCTTTCCAGATGTTTTCTTTCACCTTGGGCAAAGGATAGTAGAGCCTCGAGCCCTGGGGGCAGCAGAGAGAAGGGCAACCGAAAGGCCATGGCTCATGTGGAAGGAAGAGGGTCTTTCCAGCCCCTTGGCCAGGCAACACCCCTGCAGCGCCGAGTGTCTGTCAGGAAGGACCCGAGGCCATGTCGTCTCCTGGCGACGCCCCAGGACGACCGCCTGCCGCAGCCCGTGCCCCGGCCCAGCGCCAGCCCCACCACCACGTCAGTCACCTTGCAGCGCCTTGAAGCCCTGGAGGGGGACCCGCGTGGAGCCCGTCACGAACTGCAGCAGCCGGGCCCTCCTCTCCTCGTCGAAGGTCTCCACCGCCTGCCAAAACCACCGGACCACGTTGCTGTCGGCCCCGCAGTGCTTCAGCCGCGTGTTGGACTTCCAGTCGTCCAGGTCGATCTTGTCCAGGCCGCCGATGATCAGCTATGAGGGCGTGAAGGCAGGTCACCTCCCCGACGTACAAACCGACGGGGCCCCAGCTCCCAGGACACGGAGAGCGTTACAAACCACGTCCCGACAAACCGGACACGCGTTCAGACAAGTCGACAGACACGTACACAGCGGGCCTGAGGCCCACACTCTGTGTCTGCACCTCCGGGCCGGCTGCCACCCCGAGGACGCTGGTGTGGCTACCCATGTGACGTTTCCTTAGCAGCGCGTGCGTGTGTGCGTGTGCATGTGTGTACACTGCACTGGGGAGGACGGAGGACCGAAGGACCAGCCACAACGGCTGCACGGGGCCACATGTTAAGTGGGGCCGCCTCCCAGGGATGCGTGGGGCTTGAAATCTGAGGAGGAGGGAACAGGTCAGGGACGTGCTTGTTGCTGCGACCCGCTCCGGAGCCATCGCTCCCCCCGGGGAGGCACCTCGGGGCCCAGAGCTCTGGCACCGCCCTGGGGCCAGAAAGGCCGGGAAGAGCCTGAAAGGCAAGGGCTACTTGGCACCAGAAGCGGATGGGGTGCGCGGGAATTCGGCTTTGTTCACACCCATGAAGAGGGACCAGAAACGACAGTAATACTTGGTTCTGGGCCTAATAACAGCCAGAATCAAACAAAGCAGCTGGTCATGATAACTTCCTCCATCTGAGGTGACCCCACAGGAGGGGCTTAGGAAGCTGTGCTGCTGGGGAGGTTGCCCAACCCAACAGGACAAGCCACAGAACGCCCGGCAGGATGTCGCAAGAGTTATCCGGATTCCCTGCCGCCAGGCGGGCACCAGGCCTTGGCATCAGCTGCTCAGGCCTCCCCGACCCCCCACTCCGCCCCCAGCCCTGCCTCTGCTCTCCTGCAGCCCCGGCGGCCCCTGGGCCTGCGGGGATCGAGCAGCCGAAGAGCGCCCGTCACGCGCCCCGGCTCCGCAGGGGCTCACGCACCTCCAGCTCCTTCTGGTCAAAAGGCTTCAGTAAGTGTTGAGGGATGAGTTCATTAAACCCCTTCTGAAGAGCCAGGAACTGGGCCTCGATCCCCCTCATAAACCTCCAATTTACATATAACCTGAAAGAAAAATTCACACGTCGGAAGCAGTATCAAATGGTTTGTGAACGTTGTTTTTTTCTCCATTAGTTGGTTCTGATATCCGCTGAACCCTGCCCACCATCCTCCCCTAATGGGGAGGAAAACCCCACTGGCGGGCAGTACCCAGCCTAAGAGTCAGGTTAAAACTAAATCAGATGTTCTGATTCTTTGCTTGAAATGGCAGTAGGATGTAACCTGACCTGTTACAGGTGCCGTAATTTAAAAATATGTTTGAAAAGAAAATACAGGGCACAGTGAGAACTACACACCAGTCTGACAGCCTGAGCACAGACATGCCCATGTGTCTAAATTTCCCATGGAAGTCACTAGTCACTTATTTGCCTCAAGAGGTGGGAAAACAGACTATAAAGAGGTGGACTTCCATCACACCAAGCTCAAGGAAGCTTGCCCCAAACTTGAGGGAGGCCTACTCCTCCCTCCTGTGGCTATACCACCTTCACACCCACAATCAGGCGGTCACTGGAAAGCTACCCCTTGGGCTCTGGGGTCATGAATCCCCCTTTAACGGGTCAACCCTGGAGCCCACCGCTGACCCCGCCGGTTTCTGGAAGTCTCTGCCGCTACCATGACTCTGGTCCAAGCGCTCCAACGACCTAAACATGCCCCCCCCCCTCCCCGTGCCCAGGACAGTCCCAGGCCCCGCCAGTCCCAGCGGCAACCCCCAGGTGCCCTAGAGCATTACCTACCGGACGTATTCTTTCTTGTTCTCCTCTGTGACAGGGACATTCCTGCCGTTGGGTTTCAGTTCATGCTGAAGAATCCTCCCGAAAGCGTTGTGCTCCACACAGAACGTGTGGTCCAGCACGGGGGTGATGTCGTTCTCTCTGGGAAGTTAGGACAGAAGATGAACGTCACTTAGGCCTCGGCCACCGCGCGGGAGCACGTGGAGCGCTGCATCAACAACCGGCAGGAAGAGGGACCGGCTCCTCCTTTGCAGAAGAGGGGTGACAGTAGCGACACCACCCTGTGACTTCCCGGGACAGAGCCAGCCGACTGCTTTGTACCCTGAGCGGACAGGAGGGAAGCGTGAAGGGGCGGCTGAGTCAAAGGGAAGCCTCGCCAAGAAAACACGGCGCCCCCTTCTCCAGGCAGCCTTTCCAAGGGCATCAGTCCAAGGAAGCACTTGAAAGTCAGAACGGGCTCCTTCATCTGCCATGTTTCTGGAAACACAGACTGGGAGGTTCTCTATAGCATGAAGGCCCTGGCCGCCCCGCAGACCTGCCTTTCAAGCTGGGACACGTGGAAGGAGGTGGACAGAACACAGGACATGATCGAGTCCTCGGCTTGTCCCCCGGTCCCAGAGCCTGGACCTCTCATTCCCATGAAATCGGTCCTCACGAGGACCCCCGACACCTACGGTGACCATGTAACTGTGCCTGTTGCTTTTAAGAGAGTTTTAGGGTAATCCTAAAACAAAGGCACCTAAATATTAGGGTGATTTTGGATACCTCCTTGGCTGGAGACACCCCAGAGTGTCACAAACCAACCAACCACCAGGCCTGGGGATTAACATTCACAATCATAACTTAAGTCAAGGAAACAGCAAAAGAAACGAGTCCATATGATGAGAAACTGGGCAGACGTTACGTGGAAAATGTCAGTTAAGTATTGTTGTTGAATCTACTTTTATGTTTCTGATAGTTTTTCTATTCTCTGATTTCACACCCATCCCCCAAATACACACCCACGGGCACGCTACACAACACAGATGGATTCGGGGCACGCTAAGACGGGTGACGATGGATGCATTTTCAGTTAACTGAGTCAGTACTTACAGAATCCACACTAGGCTCTTATGAAGTTCCGGGTCCACCGACTCCAAGTCAGGAAGCTGGATGGGTTTCCCCAGCAGTTGCTTGTAGAAGGGAACTGTGAAACCCCCGTTGATGTAGTGTCCATGGAACACAGCCAGACCCATGATCCGACCCACAAAATGGAAATAAGACAAGTGGTCCTGTAGGGGGCACCATAGAACACGAATTCGTGAGAAAAATGACCGGCCAAGGCAGATGGGTATCTTGTACTTTTCTCCAGGTTTCTTGAATCAGTTACTCACAGGCTGCACTCATGACCGGATGAAAGACGGCTGCATAGGAGGTCAAATTTAGCGCATGAGTTTTGGAGAGGTCATCCGAAGGATACCTTATATTATGCCCTTGATTCAAACACCTTCTCAGAATTGCTACCTAATTTGTGGGACCCAGTGCGAACTGAAAATGCAGAACCCCCTTATTCAAAAGCTGAGAATATCAACATGGTGACGGCAGAGAATCAACCAACCCTGGTCCCTTCTCAACACAGGGCCCGGTGCTAGCACAGGTTGCCGCCGGCCCCTCCCTCCCACTGCACCGCGAGGAAATAAAGGGCAAAAGGTAATCCCCCTTCTTCCTCTGCCATCCCTCCCCCATCCCACAAAAAAGGAGAAGAGAAAAAATCCCAAGGGAGTTGAGGCAGGGACACAGGAAAATAACTGTGAACAACCCAAGTAAGAGAACCACTTTAAAACCAGCACTGTTCTGGTTTGTAACCAGGGAACCTCCTGTTTCTACTTTTAGGTTGGAATTATACTCAGAGAGTTAGCTCCCATGTTGGTAAAAGGTCCTGTCACATCGACTGCTCGTCAGGGGCCACGTGCAGGATGCGGCCCCACGTCAGAGGCCTCCTCTTACCCGCTGGCCACCCTCGGACCAGTTACACACACACACCGCCTATTTCCTCATCTCTCTGACAAGCAGCTAAGAGCATCAGCACCGGTGGCCAAAAAGGCCAATTATGGGAATATTCCCATTTCGACTGGGAGGAGGATGTACCTCGTAACCCACTAATCAGAATGACACCATCAACAAATACAGCCGTCAAGCCAGAGTTCCCCTGAAACGACATACTCACTGATACCAGTCTCTGAAGATACGGGATTGAAACCATCCATCTTAATCCAGTTCTCACTCTACCTTGCAATGTTTTATTTACCATAGACTTTGAGTAAGTCTACAATGAATCAACCAAGAATTGAGATTGAAACTGGAAATCCATTTAAGAAATTCTCCAACTAAGTCTCCGACCTCTTTATTCATTAATACTTACAGGGTTGATGGAAGAATCGGGATTGATTTGCAACATGTAAATGTTGTCCGTGGAATACTGGAAGAGTCCATAATACGGATTCAACATCTCATGGCACAATAAGTAAAGCCACTCCCTAAAAACAACAACAACAAGACATTTTAAAACTTCCTAGTTTCAGATCTTAACAAAAGGACTGATTCACCATGTCCTAGAAAGCCAAATTGGTAAGGCTGCCTGGCTCTGAGAGGATGTGATTTGTGCCGATTGGGCAAATAAGCTTAATGAAGTAAAAAAAAATTGCTTCTGGTGGTGTCAGAAATGGATTTTCTGGCCAAAAGTCCAGTAACTCTGAAGCTGAGAAAGAACCGTGGTTGCCTGGAATCAGTACCAGCTCAGAGGCACAGTGTGCTCCACAGTCTGTCAGCTTTCTTGCACCCCAACTAAGGTTTTCTCTGCTACTTTGCAGAGATCAAGATCTCAGGTGACGATGTTAACAATGTGGTAAAAACCAACAAAAGTGCAACAGAAAGCTGTCAAAAATGCGTGTGCACATACACGAAACAGAAGAAATATATATGCAGAGCATAAAGAAAGACGGGAAGGATTTATACTAACATGTTGACAGTAGGTAACTGGAGAATTTGCATTCTGGGCGTCTAATTTACTTTCACTTCTTTCTAGTTTTTAGATTTCTGATGGTATCATGTTATTAATGTTTAAATAAGGAGAAAACATTTCCCAGTCTAGGGAGACAGGGATTATTTAAGAACGACTTTTGTCCTCATAATTTTCTGTCCTGTTGAATTCTTATTTTTTGCCATAAGCGTTATCACTTTTATAATTTAAAGGACTAGTTTCTTAAAATGTTAATTCTAAGAGTTAAAAAATCTGGATAGGGTACATAAAATGGATTGTTTTCTGAATTCCTTTGTGTTTGAATTATTTCATTATAAAAAAGCCCCAAATCAAAACCAATCAAACAAAAAAAGCACTCTAAACAGAACCCGTATGACTCCGCTGCTGTGGCCAGATTGTGGTAAGCCCGGGTATGGGGGTCTATACAACACTGTGTAGCCTTTTATTCTTTCTACTCAAAACTCCTTTAAATGGACGAATCTTATTAAGATAGCTGCCCCAAGTTTTACTCTGGAATTTCTTACTCCTTCAAACAGAAAAGACAGAATTGAGAAAATACGAAAAGGATAATAAGCACAAAAGCAAATCATCTGTCTGAGAAAATTGTGAAAATACACACAAAATGATTTACACCAGCACAAAGCTGTGTGTCCAGCTCAAAAGAGCAGGACGGAACTACCAGAAGAGGTGAGACAGACACCAAATCTTATGAAGCCTCTTTACTAGGAAGGCAGAATTTCCCAACTCTGGTGCTTTGATTTATCCCCAAGTTTTGGAGTTTGGATTTACGAAGAATTGTTTTCATAAATGCCAAGGACCTGCCCCTGTCTAGACAGGAAGTGATTAAAATACAAGCAAACATCCTGACCGAGCTGTGGACAAGGTACAGAGCACGAGGTATGTTCTGGAAGTGGTCAGGGAAGAGCTAACTACACAGGCAGAAGAGGGAGAGAAAGGAAAAGGTTCAGAGCCAAACACTGAGGAGATAAGCATAGACTGATTCCCATCGACCAACATAAGGGACACAGACACACACGTATGTGTAACATACATGTCACTGACATCTCTCCTCAGCCCTACACGACAGGTGTGAGCCACTCAGACACGAGGAAGACTCAGCTGAAACAACGTGAGATCAGACTGGAGGCAGAAAAGCAGGGCTTCTCAGCTCTTCCCTCTGTAGCATCATGTTAATCAAAGGAGCTACACAAAGACTTGATAACCACGGAAAATGCAGAGGACAGCGAACTCCTAACCAGACCAAACCTAACCCAACTATTCACGTGCGCGCCTAGGAACCTATAACCCCAGCTGTACACGGGAGCGACCATAAAGTAAAACAGTTCAGGATACTGACTCTTGAGATATCTCGAGACTATAAAGGAAAAGGTAGAGAAGAGAAAATGGAAGTAGTTTGACTTGAATTTAGGACAAATATGAATGAGGAAGTAGGAAGAGTCTCCCTGAAAAGGGGGACGGAAAACCTAAACCCCTAGTCAGGAAACGGAATTCGTGTTTTCAAGGGCAAACAGAAGTTACATTCGCCAGAAGAAAGATGGTTCCTAGAATCAATATTGAGAAGATCAAGGAAGAAACTTGGAACAACCTGGAGAAGGAAAAGCATTTCCCATGGAGAGGCAGTACCAGTGCAAGCGCGCTATCAGGAAGGCCGGGATTTTCTGCATCCCTCATCCCAGACGGAGTCAAGATCACCTGAGGAGCACAGCGATGGGAAGAGGCTGGAGGAATGATTCTGTTCTGGGGCCCAAGGGCGCATCGTGGCTTTTGTAATTATTTACTTTTGGCTGCTGAAAAAAATCCCAGTTCCACCCAGAAACCTGATGAGACCCCCTATAATGCTTCTCAGAACCTAATTTTGCTGGTGCTGACTGCTGCAGTGCTGAGAATCCACTTGTGTTTTCTAAATTTTGAGGGTACGAGGCTCTCCTGTCCCCTGGCCCCCAAGGCCGGGCCACTATCACACGTCCGCACAGGAACGAGGCCCCTTGGCAGCATCTACCAGCGGTGTGGTCACTTGTGCAATGTTATGATTTACGTCTGGACCTCATCAGGTTGAGGACTCCTTTGCACGGGGGGAGGGGGGGTGAAGGGGGCAGGGGACACGTTGCTTTGCTCACATGGTATCCCAAGTACCCAGTCTGCGGTGGAGTCTCAATGCTTACTGGTTAATGAATAAATACAGAAAATACCCCCTCTGAGGGCCCGAGGGTGCACTGGCTCCGGCGGGGAGGGGGCGCATGCAGCACAGAGGGAGGCTGTGAGGACCACCCGCATCTGAGCCACAGGGACTGGGTGGGCAGTTCAGTGAGGCAGGAAAGAACAGGGAGCAGTTGCGGGGAGGGGCAACCCGAAATGTTGAACTGTTAGGTTTAAGAGGCTAAATACCCAAGCACAGATGAGAGGCAACTGGTAAACAAGTCTGGAGCTGAAGGAGGGGCGAGGAGGGGCGGCCAGGAGGCTCCAGGGCTACGCTCGGATGCCCGCAATGTCCAGTGGGAAGGAGGAGGGGGACGCACAGCAGAGGAGCCTGAGAGGGAGATTAGAGGGAAACCAGGTGCCCTGGAAACCAAGTGGCAAAGGTGTTTCGAGAAGCAGGGGGCCACCAACTACAACGAGTCCTGCTGACAGACCAAGACTGAGTCGTCATCACTGGGTTTGGTGAGACGCAGGTCAGGCGGGGGCCTCGACACAAAGGGCTTCAGAGGGCAGAGAGATCTGCTCAGAATGTGTTCAAGAGAAAGCGAGGATGTGGAGGCGGGAATTGGGATCACACAACTCTTCTGAGGGGTTTTGCTACAAAGAGAACAGAGGAACAGGGCGATGACTGAGCTATGCATTCTTGAACGCATCTCTGTCTTTCCTGGAGTTTCTAATTGTTTTTCTTTTTCCTGTGCTTTCTTTGCCTTTATTGCCTCCTTTATTGTAGCTTCAACAGGAAGGGGATATAGTATCTAGGAAAGGTTTGGGGGGGGGCATGTTTGTTTCTTTTAAGAAGGGGAGTTGCCGTAGCACATTTGTATGACCCAAGAGAAAGGGACATTTTGATGAAAAGAAATAGATGTGAAATAACAGGAAAAGCACAAGGGCCTGGGATGCACTGTGCCAGGGGCAGGATTGCTCTTATACAGGGACATGCATGCGCCACGCAGGGCCACGGCGGGGAAGTCTGACCGTACGAGTACAGACAACGGCAGACTCGATATCTGGTGGTGACACTGAGGAAAGACCCTTCAGATTGCTTCCGTTTCCTCAGTTAAATAGGAAGCAAAGTCAGCAGCTAAGAGTGACGATGGGCGGAAGTGACGCCAGAGATCTGAGAAAGAGAACTACGGGGGAACTGAAGTAGGTGCTGAACCCTCCTTGCGGCCGGTGGCCATCGATGCAGAGAAAGGCCAGCAGCATGGAAGTGTGTTCGCCTCCAGCCACATTCAGCCGCTCAGGCAATGCTCAGAGCAGCCTGAGGAGGGGATCTTCAGAGCTGGGGTTTTGCCAGGTAAGCACAGCAAACGGAAAGAGAGGGAAGGAAGTTATGAGGGGGCATAAGGGAGCGATTATGATGGTGGATTACGGGTAAGGAGGAAGTGAAGACAGGAGGGGCGTGAAAAACAGAAAAAAGGTGGTGGAACCTATGGATGATGCGTGGCCATGGATGGGGTCAAATAAATTAGACGTGCCCAGAGCCACACTGTTCTCTGACAGTGACTCTGGGTGCTGAGAAGCAGCGGAGCAGTGTCTTCAGAGTTCTGAATGAGAACTGTTTTCCTTCTAGAAGCCTATAAAGAGCTAAACTACCAGTCACACTGTAGATTATAAGACATTTTCAGACTCACGATCTTGGAAAATCCCCCTCCCACACACACACACACCCCTTCTAAGAAAGCTACTTGAGGATATATTCCAGTAACATAATGGAGTAAGCCAAGAAAGAGGAAGCCATAGGACCCGTACAACAATGGCTCTAAGCCAAGAAAGCAGTGAAGTCCCATGAAGACAACTGCAGCAGGTCCAGAGAATCAACAGTCAGTCTGGACAGAGTCTCCACAAGAGAGATACATGGAGCAAAGGGGGTGGGTGAGGATGGCCAAAGGTGAAGTTTAATGGGGCAACAGAGACAAGACCTGGTTCTAAGGAAAGAAGAAAGAAGAAGAAATTCTTGGGAAAATTAAAATTTGTTCGAAAGGATAAACTAAATGATAGAATACCACTTAATCCCTCAATGAACAATATTTACATTGTCATAATAATATAAAACAATGTACTGATTTTTCAACTCCTATAAATAATAGGTAGACAAGCACAAGAGACTGACTTAATTTTGGTGACAGAACAAAATGTAAATCTTCAACCTTGACAATATACAAGTGATACTACAGATGACAGAATGTAAGAGGTAAGAGGTGGAAGGAATGCTGGAATGCTGAAGGGAAAGTCAGGAGTATTAATATCCTTTTCGTAAGAAAAAGAGAGGTCAAGAGATAATGCCTCTAGCTGACCGTGAAAAAATAATGGTGAAAAAACATTATGTAAAGTTACAAAGACAATGATAGAAGAACTAAAAATACTGATATTACAAAACTGAGGAGTATTAAATTAGATCCTCACCACAACCATTACCTGGTCTATCTGTGCCTATGACCATACATCATGAAATCAGTAGATAACATCAGAACTTGATCGAGTTGGTGATCTAGATGGTTGGTTATATTAGAAGAAACAGTTAAAAGAGCAGAAGAACAGTTGTCTCAAAGGTGAAAAGAGGTAAGACAGGAAACAGAATATAATCATGAAAAGCTACTATCTTTAAAATCATTTGCATGAACTATTTTGACCAAAATCTCATTTTACAAAACTTGTTTGACACAAAGGCAACGTATATGCCTTCCTCCCACCCCGAAAGTCCTCTAGTGAGAGAAGCAAGGCTGCCTCCGTATTAACTTCGGGTTCAGTCGGGCCATATGGAGAAGGGAGTAAGGGTAGAAGTTTAATAATTCATACTCTCTAAGAAGGAAAGTGATGGTGAGGCGCACGCGCGTTCTGATGGGTCATGGCAAGATGCTAGCGTGGCACACGCTCTTAGGAATTCTTTTTCTAAGAACGCTCTCTGATGGCAACGCCTGAAGTCCTGACTGCTCCAAGACCAGCACCAGAAAGGGGCAAACGACTTCTCTGCAAATATTTGCTCACAGGTGCGCTCAAATCCACGCAGCGGGGGGGGGGGTACACGAGCCTCTCACCTCGCCACCCCGCCATAGTCCAAACCTTCTTCTCCTCGGAATTTCACCATCAGTCGCTTTTTCAAGTCTTTTGGTCGCATCTTCATTATCTGGCGATAAGACTCCTGCACATCAAAATTACAGTTTCAGGGAGAAGAGCTAATCTCATTTTTAAAGTTATAAAATGATGAAAGGTTATTTATAATGGAGCTCAATTACAAATAAGCATCTGAGCTTATTTTTAAGCCTTTGAATCTGATTTTTGTCTGGTTCCTATTGAGAATGTTTAGTTGGCATCTAGGACATTGCTGCTTCCTTCACTTTTTCTCCCTCGGAAACAGCAAAGCACATGGCGGGTGATGCTGTACCTAAAGGAAACACACATTTATTCTCAGCACAATCATGACTTAAGAGTTGAACATCCTCGCTAGGGTTGATTTTCTCTGCACAAATTAATTCCAATGTGTCCTATAAATAATTGATATATTTTAACCAAAATGAAGACATCACAAGAGAGTCTGAATACTAAAAGTATTCTGAGCCTGATTTTACAACTGAAGTCAAAAATCACACTTTCCCACGGAGTCAAAAAAAAACAAGGAGAGTTTAAGTAAGACATAAAGCAGCTTACCAGACACAGAAAACATGCGGTCAGCCTAATAGTCCCTCAGATTCAGCATCTGGAGTGGAACCAGCTAAATGTCTGTAGGTATTTTCAGTGAAAAGGCACTTAAGGATCTTTTCTTGCTTCAAATTTAATGTAATTCAAAAGCTGGATCCCAAGAGGCAAGAGGATGCTGAGTGGAAACGATCTGGCAGCGGCACCTCAAGAATTCAGCTCTTCTCTATCCCCGACAAACATTTACGATGCTCAGTGGGCAAAATCAGGCACTTCAGCTGATCCACTCATCGGGCTGTGCCCAAGCCTCCGTCCCTCCGCGGCCCCCTCAGCTGCTGTGGCCCAGTGAGAATCTGTGTCTCGTTTGATCATTTCTGCCAAGGATTCCACAAAGGCCCAAACACAGCTGAGATTCTACTCATGATCGTGGGCCCGAGAAGCGGGCCCTGCCTACCAAAAGCCCTGCCTGTTTAGGGACCCTGATCCCGCAGGGGAGCTGGACAAAGGCCAGAACCCTGCCCGGAACCATCAGTTCTTCCTCCTTCCAGAAGGGACAACAGGGAGGCCACTTAGCTTCTCTGAGGAGGCAATGCCACGAGGGGAAATTGCATGCAAGGCTGCAGCAGAAGGAATGCTTGATTCTAGGAAACCGTGCGGATGGCAGGAAGTAGAATCTGTACAACGCGCGCACAGGGATTTACAATATTATTTAGTACTAGTTTCTGTACAGATCTCTACCTTTTCACTCAGAAGTCATTGATTTTTAAACCTTTACCACAGGAGGAAATACAGTTCCCTCTCTCTGCATTTCGTTTCAGAGAGAGGGAACTGCATTTCACTGAGCGATAAAATCAATCTCCGAAACACCAGACAGAAAGCAGAACTCACTGTCTACTGACAGGGAGGAAGATTCTGTGCCCGAACCCCGTACCTCAAATATTTCCTCTCTGGATACTTCGATGCGGCAATGACCAGCTTGGGGTTGCTGAAGCGAGAGCTCGTGTCTGAGGACCTTCAGTTTCTGGACTAAATCTCTCTCATATCTCTGGGCGGGAAGCTCCTCGTCTTCCACGGAGCCCTCACTGGGCAGTGGCAGCGGCTGGCTGGGCTCCTTTAGTTGGCACTGGTGACTGGAGAAGAACAGAAGCATCGAGGTCGCCCCAAGAGCGGCGGCCAAGGTTGCTGCCAGCAGTGCACCCACACAAAAGGGACTGAGAGGGGAAGTCATTTCACCAAACTGCTAGTCAAAATTTCTTATGGAAAAACTGCTGGTGGCCACCCTCAGGCTAAACAGATGTCTAGGATTCAGTCAAGGAGACCCTCCATCTCCGTATCTCATACATTATCATTGCCATAAGTAAAAACAGAAACTGCTAGCATTCATCGTGCATCTAGTGCATATCTGTGAGCCCGACCAATGCGCTATTAGGTGTGCCTTGGGGGTGAGAGTTAAATGGAGTTGACGAGAGAACTTTCAAAGCAGATGACCGTGGAGGGGGGCAAAATGCACAGGAGCAAACAAGTGAAATGCAGTGGTAACTACTCCTACTCATAACCAAGAGATTTCCAAGCCCACTCATCAAAGGCAGAAGTCCAGAGACCTTCTGGACACAGTAGCATCTGTCCTGTTCAAGTTTTGCCGGTTGTATCAGCTGTCAATGACAAGTGCCCTGTGGGCGCTCATGTTCTGAGGACACAGCAAACCTGGAACGTGGAGTGTGGGAGCCAAGGTCATACCCAGGTCCACAGCCCCTGGGAATGATGGCCCGGGAAGAGGTTCCAGCAAGCAGTGCTCTGGACCAGCCCTCCCGGACAGCGGTGAGCAGGCACCAAGGAAAGCCTCACTTCACTGCTTCTCTAAGGCCATGTATCCCATCAGAGTGCTGCCCACGGAAGCTTCGTGAGTGAAGCTGCCCCATACTGCCAGCTCAGGGGATTTTATTTAGGCTGCAAGCTAGAACAGGGTGACAACAACATAGGACTTCAGGACTGCTCACAGCGGCTTGGGAGTTTAAAACGCAATTGTCCACCAAGTATTTATCATATTTTGCTTACACTTATTCTCTGCTAACCAACAATGCAATCAAGAAATGAAGAAAAAAGTTAGTAGAAAACATGAAATTTTAACGAGGTCAACAAAGATTTGGTAAAAGTCTTACTTCATGATGTGGTGTAACCTTGGGTCTGTAAACTGGGTTGTTCGGTTATTATGATCTACAAAATATATTCTCCCGGAAACTGTACTTCGGACTTCCCAACCGGGTGGCAGTGGTCCAAGTTCATCACAGTTCACGCTGTTAAGGTCTCTACCAAAGTGGAAGATACAGAGAGGTTTGTCCATCTGTGTGTGGAGGCCTAAGACCAAAACTTCCGTGAGAGAACCCGGGGCATCCCCTTGTCCAGGGGCCGTGTCCCGGTCCTGCTAAGAGGGACAGTCGCGGCGCTACTTACGCCAGACTTGCACTGAGCCCAGGCCTCTGTGCCGCAAGTAGCAGCACAGTCCCGCAGATAAACCGCAACCCTCAGAGCCTGTGACCATGATAGGGAATGTGGTCTGCCCGGGGAGTACCATTCCTTCCATGAAAGAGGGCCAAAATAGTAGGAAGTATCTGAAGGCTGCTGGAAAACTCTGGATTCAGAATTAAATGCTCAAGGTCAGAAAGGTTTCTGCATGGAAAAGCTCCCAAACAGTACACGTTTTTTCAAGCTGATGGGGACGTATGAACATGCATTCGAAATCTTCCAATTCTAGACATCTGCACCGGGAAGAGGCCATCTCCTTTTTGAGTTGGCTTTGTTAATAAGCAAGTCTTTCTAATTCTAACCTCTTGATTCATTATTTCAGTATACTCCACAGTCATCTGGGAGCACAGCATTACTGACCAAGATGCTTTTCCAATCAGGACCAAAGCCTGACATTCCTTCCAGTGAGTACTAAAGAGACACCTCATTCATTTGCAGGTAATATTTCCATTCTAATTACAGATACTGAATTGTAAATTCAACATAGATTTGGAAAATCAAAGACAGGGAGCTTGTTCTCAGATGAAACAAATTATGAATAAAAAGGAAATGAGCATTACTAAAAATGTTATTAGGAAGTAACGCTGTTCTGAAACAAAAGAAAAAATTTTTTAAAGAAAAAAGGAAAGCAAAGCAAAGAGAAAAAAAGAAACTTAACTCCATTACAGGGTGGGGGTGGGGCAGGGGTCTCTTTGACCCGGGCTCAGATGTATGGCCTTGTAGAAGGAATTCGTATAGAAAAGCTTCATCTCCCCCAGGAATAGTCCCCAAGGGACTGAGGCAATAGGAAGAGTAAAGTAGAAGAGAGGGTAATAGAGTCTTTATATTTCCTTTTTAGGTTTTCATTGTGGAAAATGTTAAGCATATAAAAAAAAGAGAGAGAGACCATAGTGAATAGCCAACTCTAACGACTGCCAGCTTATCGCCAACCTGCTTCCAATGCTCCCCATCGGCTTCCCCACCCCGATTACTTAAAGCGTCACATCAGACATCATGTCATCTCGCTCAGCACTATTTTTAGTTTAGAGTGAGGGCAACACATCTTTAAGGGTTTATCGGTTTTTTAAGTAAGTGCCTTTGATTCAATCTAGGGGTGAGGGTCTTTTGCAGTTACACGATCTAACTTCAAGATCCAGGATCGCTTTTTTCTAAAGGGCCCCTTGCATTACGGCAGCTGCGGATCTACCAGCTGGAGAGGCGGGGGCGGGGGCGGGGGGGGGGGGCGGGGCATCAGAGCTGGGACCGCCGCCCGGAGAGTCTGAGTCCAGCACCCCTGTTACAGGTCCCTCTGTTTGTGCTGCTGCTCTTCCAAGTTCACATCTTCACACCAAAGGGGCTCTATCACCCACAGTCCGGGGTGGGGGGCCCAGGCAACTGCTGGAAAAGGGCCTTGATGGTGAGAATTTTAGGAAACTTACCTGGGTATCCTGGGGTCGTGCCACGTGCTAACTCCAGTCTGCGTGTGCAGGAAGTAAACCTGCCCCTGCACCGTTGTTCTCTGTTCTGCATGAGAAAGTGGGGGGTACGGTAGTTACATTCAATTCCAAAGAGAGTTTTCAACCAATCCTGTAAGCACAGCGTCCCAGCTTCCTTCCAACAGTCTTTAAAAGCACCGAGAGAAGGGTTTGAAGCGCAGCAGTTAACTTCTGCCTGGCATCTGCGAGTCACAAGCCCTGATGGGCCTTACTTCTCCTGTTCCCACTTGGAGGGGCGGCCACACCCCTGGACCTGCCACCTCGGGACTGACCCTACCTTGACCTCTGCCCCTGCATTAGCTCTTACTTCCGGTCTGATCTGCCACATCTACTTGGATTCCTCCTGCATTTAGGTGCTCCCTCTGTGGTTGTCAAAAGATCCCATCCTTTCACTCGTACCCAAGGCCGTCCTCCCCACATTCAAATCCCAGGGCACTACAAATACCCCCATCCAGGTCCCTGCCCCACTCCTCTCGGTTTTCTTTGATATTCATTTGCCTAAAATCTTCATACAACTGCTACACTGGGAGATGGGAGCAATTGCGGACAAGTTCATGACAAGAAAGATTTGTCAACCATCTCGGGTTACTCTTCTTTACACTGACACAACCATCGTGGGGCACACCTCTGCAAACATCAGCACTTCTGGCAGGTACGAGTCACTAAAAAAAGCTGAAAACATTAAAGCTGTCTGAAACGTCACCGATCGCTCTCGGGACAGCGGGGTGGATGCCCTCACCGTAGCCTTCAGGCAGTTCCGGGGACTGGTGGCCGTGAGGTCGGTTCTGCGGCGTCTGGAGTGACCCTCGGACCTCAGGACTTCGCAGTCGCTGGGCCTGAAGTCTTTGATCCTGACTCGGGGATTCCACAGACCTGCAGCCACCCCCGCCAGCAGCAGCCCCAGTGCCATCCGTGTAAGGGGCTGGTTCCTCCATGAAGCAGCTGAGCGGCCTTCCAGGCCCTGAGTCTTCATACGCAGTTCTAGAAGGGGAAGACCACAGCCCACATCACAATACCGGCTGAAGACCAAGAAGCACCCGTAAGTTCCATGCCACGCTCTCACTTCCATTTGTTTTGCTTTTCTTGAGCAATATGATAGAATGTCCCCAGTGCTTAGTTTCATATAATTCGTCCTGTCCTGTTTAATTGGAAAGCCAGACTTTTTCATGAGGAGCCAGTGACCAAAGGGAGCCATGTGTAAAGTGCCACTGAGGCCACTCGTAGGATTTCATCCTCAGGCAGAGGCAAACGGTTGGAAAACACCAACCTTGTTCTATAAGGAGCTCAGAAAGTGAGATTTCACTTTTCTTGAGTCAGAATCATATCCAAACATTCCATTTTCCTTGTCATTTTATTCTATAATAGAACTCCTGGTTACATAAAATACCACAATGACTTTAAAAGTGACTTTTAACATAAATCTTGATCCCCTGAACAATTGTGGAGACAATTTACCTTAATAGGCTATCTTCCCTTATAAGCAAGTACTTATGAAAAACGTTCTACATTGAAAAAGTACAAAGAGACACACAAATTGAGAGACTAGTTCAGTGAACGCCCTGGACTCATCACCCAGCTCCAGTGATTGTCTCGTGGCCACGCGCCCAACTCCTCCCCCCTGAGCTGGATTATTCTGAAACCAATCCCAACATTTTACCATTTCATCCTTAAATATTTCAGCACAGACCTCTGGGAGATAGGCCTTTTACCATTATCATGACCCCAAAAATGTACGATAATTTTTTTAATATCATCAAATACCAGTCAGTGTTCAAATTTCTCCGGTCAACTGTCTCATTAATCAGGATCCAAACAAGGTCCACACACCGCATTTAATAGGTATGTCCCTTAAATCTCTTTTATTAACTTATAGGTTCTCTTCCTTCCTTTTTAGTTATTTTTCTTGCAGTGTATTTGTTGAAGACACCAGGTTGTCTGCTACAGTCTACAGGGTGCCCCCCTCTGGATGGAGCTTATCCCCGGGGCTGTGCAACCCATTCCCGTCCCCTGGACCTCCAAGATGTAAGTTCATGTCAGATTATCCCTCTTTCATGATGTTGTCAGCAACTATTAATGACATTAATAGTTAACTCATTGGGGAACTGAAAAATTGTGATAGTGACCAATGAGAATTTTTGAGGGTGTTTTTCGGTTTTTGGGTTTTTTAGAATTTATTTCTCCCTGTATCATTATGAACTCAATGGATTGCTTTAATCCACTGCAGTTATAATTCTTTACTGATGCTCTTTGGCCAGCGGGAACCTCTGTAAATTGGATCCTGAGCCTTTGGGGCACTACCCCACTAGTTCTGACAGCTTCCTTTACAAACGAGGAAACTGGATCCCAGTGTTATCCCAAGACTGCACCTCAAGTATTCAACGCATTGAAAAGGTGTGAAGGAAACTTTCATACAGTGCGAGAGCCTGGGCAGCAGAGAACTCAGTGGGCATCGCTGCAGTGATACGTACCCTTCATTTTCTAACAGCCCTCTGCAGTCTACCACGGACCCTCCAGTGCCTATTCTGTCTCGTGTCTGTAAACTGACTAAAAAGAAAAGAACATCCTGCATTAAAATCCAGTGGTATTTTATACAACTGTAACACAGTGAGCCATTGCAAATGTGTAATTTATGTATGATATTATTTTAAAAAGTGAGGCATATGTCTATACATACACATATACATTCCTATGCTTTCAAGTATGAAGCATCTCACTCATTGGCTGCACAGGACGCATACCACTTGGAACACTCCTTGTAAACGTGGAGCAGAAAGAGATGCTGTGTTGTCTGTGCTCTTCATCAAAATAACAGAACACAATTTCACTCCCTCCAAGGTACCTTATATTTTAAGAAGATTTTGACTTATGTTTAATAAGGACACAGAGAGCACTGTCAGTATGTGCAAGGTCTGGATGCACCTACGTGTCGATTCTCTGTCCCTACTATGAACAACAAAGACACTTATGAAGCTGCTTCCAGTTATTCATTTTTCCCCAGCACATCCCTCCACAAAGAAAAGAAGAAATCACAAATAGAAAGGCAGTAAGTGGGAACTCTGTCGTGACAGGAGTTTTCAGATGGATATCCACTGTCCCTTTATCTTGGGTCAGGTCTACATAAGACAATACCTAAAAGATTTGGGGCCATAAGTCACTCTGGTGTGCTGCTGAAATACTGTTTTCTTTGATTACTTGCAATGCATACAGTCAATATTTGGGTAACCCTGAAATGCTAATAAAAATGGGATGGATAACAGGATGAGCTACTTAACAGATAAATTACTTCCAGTGGGATACCTCCAGTCAACGCTTTATGACATGAGCACATTTTATTTCTTCATTCTAAATAAGTCAGTCCTCTGTAAAATCATATTACATGGAAGTCTTCAGAAATTCTCTTTGCCTTTTACATATATGATGGGTCCTCCTGAAGGAACTATTTCTTAACTCTTGCGTATGTGGCCACATTTCTATCATCTGCCCTTGGATAATATGACAAATTGTCAACTCATGCGACGATCAAAGTTACATCACAAATTATAACCCTGCATCTTTTCGTACCTTAGTCATTTTAACTCCACCTTGAATGACAGAATGAAGGGAATTAGATAAAATAATAAAAACCACATAAGATGAAATCGTTTAGTCCTGGAGAGATGGCCCCTGTATGGGGCCTGTCCTTCGAAGTATGTCACCATTGGTCAGTGCCTTTATGTGTTTTCTCAGTGATGAAGAGCTGAAGGTTAAGTCTGTAAAAATTATCTCTTTATACAGATGAGAAAGTTCTTACCCACTATTTGGCCACGAACTGCATCAGTATCTGAGGGGTTTAGTTTGCATAGATCCAAACGCTGGTCTGCAAACAAACAATTCAAAACTTAACCCAGGGAAATGTTAGCTAGAGAGGAAGGCAGGAGGAATTCTGTATTCAGTATTCAAAAAAATAAAATAAAAAATGATGCCCCATAAGCCTTCTTCAGTTGCATTAAGAGGCAGAAAAACATTGGGTTCTTACATCCAGTATCTTTTAATCTGCTGATGGCATTGGAGAGCAGCCGCACGCACCCCAGGAAGCCAGCTCCCTGCTTCTTGTGAATTTTCTTGTGGTTCCACACGCTGATGGTTATAGAATCCGTTTTCCCAACATATCTGAAACCAACATGCAAACTCATTTTTAATTGTATTTCTCAATTGCGATAGCCCATTGAGATTTTATCTGATTGACTTGTTAGTCCAGAAGAATCCTTTTAAAATAATGTTGGCTCTATATCCACAGCTAACAGGCGCTTAATAAGTATATATCTACTAACTTCAGTGGGCTGGGAAAGGACTACAACCGGTTATGTAAGAAACACATGCAGACAACCACATAATGATAATAATCTTATAACAGAGATTTACTATATTTTTATAGTTCCAAAGGATAATGGCAGGATTCAAAAGTTCCCACCAGGACTTCCCTGGCGGTCCAGTGGTTAAGACTCTGCACTTCCACTGCAGGGGCACCGGTTCAATCCCTGGTCGGAGAACTAAGATCCTGCATACCGCATGGTGTGGCCAAAAAAAAACAAAAACAAAACCCCAGCAATTAGGCTTAATAGAGAATACTAATTTGCAACAAAGGACTACTTACATCCATCCAAAGTACACAAAAGGGCACTAACTCAGACAGGAAACCTGCCACTTTCTCTCAGTGTAGGTCAACCACAGAAGGGAGCTTTCGGGACATGGACTGACAACCACTTTCCAGGCTACTTCCAGTGCCACAGTGTAACTGCAAATGAGCCTCAGGATCCAACTACTAAAAATCCCACTCAAACCCAGTTCAATTTGTGTTAGTAAAAAGCCAATAATAATCACTCAGCATTACTTGGACAAAAATTTCTTAGCAGGGACATGAAAACATAGGTGCCTACAAAATAGATTTTCAAAGTGCGATCCACTTAACAAATGAATATAAGAAATTGTCTGATGGTGTGTGGGCTTATATACCTCCAGTCATACCAAACTTTATTTTCTCTTGCAGAAAATATATTTGTCCTAAAAAGCAAAATTTTTTAAAAATCAACAGAAATATATATATATTATATATTTGTATCATAAATATGTAAAATAATAATAATGGGGGCTTCCCTGGTGGCGCAGTGGTTGAGAATCTGCCTGCTAATGCAGGGGACACGGGTTCGAGCCCTGGTCTGGGAGGATCCCACATGCCACGGAGCAACTAGGCCCGTGAGCCACAACTACTGAGCCTGAGCATCTGGAGCCTGTGCTCCGCAACAAGAGAGGCCACGATAGTGAGAGGCCCCCGCACTGCGATGAAGAGTGGCCCCCGCTTGCCACAACTAGAGAAAGCCCTCGCACAGAAACGAAGACCCAACACAGCAAAAATAAATTAATTAATAAACTCCTACCCCCAACATCTAAAAAAATAAAATAATAATAATAATGTATTTCAAATAATGCATTTTACAACCATGTTCTGGGTTTTGCTGAAAAAAACAGTAGCATATAGGGGACCTGAACTATGGCCCTTTTTTCCTGTTAGTATGGCCAGGAGATTGAAAGTTTGAAGACCACAGTTACAGAAGCAAACCATTAAAATATATGAAAATGTCAAACACAAGAACTTCCAAGTATATGAATTCTAAAAGTAGGCAGTATGTATTTGTTTGGCCATCCACGTTTGTTATCAGTAAGAAGTTTAATAATCCCTTTAAAAAAAAAATTAAATGCTTCTCTTACAAGTTAGATACCAACTTTCCTGCCGCTCCCCAAGTGGCTTATAGGATAATCAACTCACAGATCATAGTGCTGGTTCCACTTCGGGTCCAACGTGTTCTTCACAGTGTCCGTTGAGTGGCACTGCCCAGATCCATCCACAACGATCTTTGCAAAAGGGTCAGGGAGTCCTAGAGGAGAGGGGACAGCCACACTGGATGAGAAGACAGAACCCAGTCCTGCAAGTAAAGCGAGCTTCAAGGTCATCTATTTGATTAAGAAGACTACCCTGGTATATTTTTTTCTCAAGTTTAAGGTTAGTTTCAATCAGCAAAATAAATTCTTTCCATTAAGCTTTCTAAGAAAGACAACCCAGAATGACATCCTCCTCAGATTTTTAGAGGCTAGAAATGAAAACTCTAAAAATAGGCTTAAATTCAAATTTCCATTTCTGATGATCACTCAGTGGGGCTAGCTAAATGGAGGGAAAGGTGTCTACAATTATTTATATTTATACTTTCTAAAAAATAATAATACCTAGAAATCTTGTTTACTGGTCTTCGTCTATTTTATCTCTGGAAGCAAGTATTCACCGGGTTTTAATTAGGTAAGTTGCTAAATGCTGGAGTATGAATCAGACAGGTTTATAAGATCAGAGAGGTGGCCAGGTAAGGGTTTTAGAGATAGACCTGGACGTGAGCCATCACTCTGGAGCTTCTTAGCTACTTGAATAGAGTCTGCGAGCCTAAGTCTCTTTACCTTTAAAGCATGAGATGAACCACTTAGGAACGGAGCAGCATTCTTGTGAGGATCAGAAAGAGTGTGAAAAATATCATGCTGCAGGCGCCTACTTTATAGTAGGTGAACTTCTTATGAGGTGATTCCTTCCTTTAGAAAAGGATCCTCCATTTATATTTTTATTACAATTCCTTTAATTACAAGGCTTTTAAAGTGTGATTTAATTGATCAAATTTGACCAACAATTTTACTCAAACCCAGACGTTTTATAGAAAACTGTCTTGTCTGTATTGGAGCTGAGGAGACTTCACCCAGCAGAAAGCAATACATTAATGGATGGAAAGACAGAGAAAACAGGGTGGTGGCCGGAATAGGGAATGAGAGAGAGTTGTTCTCATATGAGTTATAAATTCTGTGCCTTGGAGCTACAGAGTCTCTATGTGGTAGTCAACTGGGAAAGGAAGCTTGTCAAACTGTGGATTTCTAGTCAGCAAAGGGCAGGACTTTTAGGAGAATACTCCCAGGGTTGCTTTTTTTTTAAGTTTTAAATTTCAGAAATATGTGAAGAACATTAATATTGTAAGAGAGCAAAAATGGGTGTTTTACTTACTGAAGAAGTCTTTCTTTGCAAGGTTCTTGGCACATAATACTAAACACAAACAAAAAAATGCTAGGGTTAGCACTTATGGACAAGATTTCCATCATAGTTAGTTGCTATGGACGGAATCGTATCCCCACCCAAAATTCATATGATGAAGCTCTAGCCTGCAATGTGATGTTTTTAAAGGTGAGGTCTTTGAGAAGTGCTTAGGTTTAGATGAGGTCATGGGGATGGGGCTTTCATGATGGGATTAGTGCCCCTATAAAAAAGAGACCACAGAGCTTGTTCTCACAGCAAGAAAGAAGGCAGGAAGAGGGCCCTCCCCAAGAACCTAATCTGTCAGCGCCTTCATCTGCGGCTTTTCCAGCCTCCAGAACTACAAGGAATAAATGCTTGTTGTTTAAGCCACCAGTCCATGGAATTTTGTTATAGCGGCCCAAACTGACTGAGGCACTAGCCTATATTTGCAATGGGGAAAAAACCCCTCAAAATTATCTTTACCATAGATTGTCTTCCAAATTTAGCATTACATTAAACAAAAAGCTGACAAGTAACAAAAAGTCTTTTCTCCTTCCATTGGGCATCAACTATAACAAATGCAAAATGCTTTAGTTTAAACTTAAAATCTTTAAACACATGCAGATGGATTTATCAATGTGCTCTTAAAACTCACAGGATCACATTAATACCAATTCCAATTAAGACCTACAGTATTTACCTTCATAGCTACTGCTAACAATAAAAGGAACTGTCCATTTTTGATATTCTGATAAATAATACAATTTTGGAAATGTAAACTTTGGTATGTTGGAGAAAGAAAGGGGAGAGTTACAGAAAATACGGGGCCATCATCAAGTGTTGTGAAAAACAAAGACAAAATGCATGATAAGAATTTCGCACAATGTTGGCATACAGAAAGAATGCAATAAATACTAAGTGTTGTTAGTATTTTATTAATGAGGGGGGATCGATTACTGGTAAGAAATTTTGTCACCAGATTTGTTACATGATTAAAGCTACTATATCACTAATGTCTCTTACACTTACGCAAACTTCACAAATTTTGCTAATTTTTAAGAATATAGTGTTTTACTATGAACTTACACTATTTCACAAAAATATATTCATATTATATGTTGTTCTGCAAACTTTTCACTTAGTATTTTTTTATATAACAATTTTTATCAAGATGTAATTCATACACTATACAATTCATCCATTTGAAGTGTATAATTCATTGGTTGTAACATACTCGCTGGGTTGTATAACCATCAGCACAATCAACTTAGAACATTTTCATCATCCCCAAGAAAGAAATCCTGTACCCGTCAGCAACCACTCTTTATTTAACCTCAAACCCCACCCGTCCTAGCAACCACTAATCTACTTTATGTCTCTGGATTCGCCCATCTGGACATTTCACATAAATTGAATCATAGAATATGTGGTATTTTGTGACTGGCTTCTTTCACTTAACATGTTTTTAAAGTTCATCCATGTTGTAGCATGAATCAGTGCTTCAATCCTTCTCATGACTGAGTGATATTCTATTGTATAGATATACCGTATTTTCTTTATCGACTTATCAGGTGATGGGCATTTGGCTTGTTCCTACTTTCTGGCTATTGTGAATGACGTTGTCCAGGTTGTTGTGTAGACTTATATTTTTATTTCTCTTGTAAACCTACGAATGAAGTTGCTGAGTTATACGTTTAACATTTTTAGGAACTGGCAGAATGTTTCCCACAGCATCTGCACCATTTTAAACCCCCACCAGCGGTGTGTGAGGGTTCCGGTTCCTCCCCATCTTCACTAATACTTGTTGTTGTCGGTCTCCGTGGTTTTATATCTCTGTGGTTCTAATTTTCATCTCTCTGATGACTAATGACTTTGAGCATCCTTTTGTGTGCTGTATTAGCTATTGATATATCTTCTTTGGAGAAATTTCTATTTAGATTTTTTTTTTTTTGCCCATTTTTAGATTGGGCTATTTGCCTTTTTATTATTGAGTTGTGAGAATTCTTTGTATATTCTAAATACCCTTATCTATAGATATCTATATTCAGTTGCACCCCGCCACCACTCTATATCACAGGTTCCACATCCATGGATTCAACCAACCATGAAATGAAAAAATATATTTTTTTAATTCCAGAAAGTCCCAAAAAAGCAAAATGAATTTGCTGTACCCCGGGCAACTAGTTATATAGTATTTACATTGTATTAGGTATTATAAGTAATCTAGAGATGATTTAAAGTATATGGGAGGATATGCATAGATTATATGCAAATACTATGCCATTTTATATAAGGCACTTGAGCATCCATGGATTTCAGTATCCATCGGGGTGGGGGTGGTGGTCCTGGAACCAATCCCCAGCAGATACCAAGAGACAACTCTGTATAAATATCTACGTATCTATAGATAAAATATCCTTATCAGATATGTGATTTGCAAATATTCTCCTACTCTGCGGGCTGGCTTTATACTTTGTTTGAAACACCAAAGTTTTTAATTTTGATCGAGTCCAATGCATCTATTTTCTTTGGTTGCTTGTGATTTTGGTGTCATGTCTAGTAAGACTTTGCCTAACCAAAAGTCTCAAAGATTTACTCCTATATTTTCTTCTAAGGGTTTTATACTTTTAGCTTTCTTTTATAATTTTACCTCTTAAATAGACATTTAGGTCTATCATCTATTTTGAGTTCGTTCTTGTATTTGATGTGAAGAAGGGGTCCGACTTCATTCCTTTGCAGGTGGATATCCAGCTGTATCAGCAACATTTGTTAAAAAGCCTATTCTTAAAAAAGAGCCTATTCTTTCCCCATTGAATTATCTTGACACCCTTGTTGGAAATCAATTCACTGTAAATGTGAGAGCTTATCTGTGGTCACTCAATTCTATTCCATCGATCTACAGGTCTCTCCTCATGCCATGACCACTCTGTCTTGATTACTGTCTTAGTCCATTCGGTCTGCTATAACAAAATACTACGGGACTGGGTAGCTTATAAACAACAAACATTTATTTCTTACTGTTCTGGAGGCTGGAAGTCCAAGATCAGAGTACCTGCATGGTTGAGTGAAGGCTTTCCTCCAGTTTGCAGACTTCTCGTTTTATTTATACAGAGCAGAAGGGGCTAGGAATCTCTCTGGCATCTCTGTTATAAGGCACTAATCCTACTCATTAGGATTCTACCCTCATGACTTAAGTACCTGCCCCAAAGGCCCCACCTACTAATACTATCACTTTAGGGGGTTAGGGTTTCAACCTATGAATTTGAGGGGGACACAAACATTCAGACCACAGTAATTACCATAGCTTTGTGGTAAGTTTGGAAACTGGGAGGTATGAGTGCTCAAACTTTGTTCTTTTTCAAGACTGTTTTGGCTATTCTGGATCTGTTCAACTGTCATATGAATTTTAGGATCAGCTTGTCAATTTCTACAAAAAAGCCAGCCTGGATTTTTTTTTTTTTTTTTTTTTTTTTTTCGTTAGGGGGGCTTTTACTTTTTTGGCCTCTCCCGTTGCAGAGCACAGGCTCCGGACACGCAGGCCCAGTGGCCATGGCTCACAGGCCCAGCCGCTCCGCGGCATGTGGGATCTTCCCGGACCGGGGCACGAACCCGTGTCCCCTGCATCGGCAGGCGGACTCTCAACCACTGCGCCACCAGGGAAGCCCAGCCTGGATTTTGATAGGGATTTCACTGAAGCTGTAGGTGAATTGAGGGAGTATTGTCATCTTAGCGAGATTAAATTTTCAAATCCATGAACAAGAGATGTTCTTCCACTTATTTTGTCTTCTTTAATTTTAACTGTTTTGTAATTTTCAGAGTATACATTTTATACTTCTTTTATTCAATCTATTCCTAAATATTTTATTATTTTTATGCTATTATAAATGGAATTGTTTTCCTTTTTTTAAATTTTGCAATATTTCTTCTTTCTTATTTTTGAAGAAGATATCAACTTTGGAGTAATTCAAACAAAGTTACAGTTTGTTTTTTTTTTTAAAGAATCAATTTTATTTATTTATTTATTTTTGGTTGCGTTGGGTCTTCGTTGCTGTGCGCGGGCTTTCTCTAGTTGCGGCAAGTGGGGGCTACTCTTTGTTGTGGTGCACGGGCTTCTCATTGCGGTAGCCTCTCGTTGCGGAGCAGGGCTCTAGGCACGTGTGCTTCAGTAGTTGCAGCATGTGAGCTCAGTAGTGGTGGCTCACGGGCTCTAGAGCTCAGGCTCAGTAGTTGTGACATATGGGCTTAGTTGTTCTGCGGCATGTGGGATCTTCCCAGACCAAGGATAGAACCCGTGTCCCCTGCATTGGCAGGCGGACTCTTAACCCATGTTTGCAGGAAGCCAAGTCCCCAACACATTCCAGACTTCTCATATGGTACCTCTGGGATCTCAGGGCCCCTCATTACCAGAGCTGGACCAGACGTTTCCTGCGTCCAGGGTTGCTGCCATCGCTGCAGCTGCTTGAAACTCCCCGAAGTTGCGAGCCAGCGACTGGAACTGTTTTCTTAATTTCATTTTCAGATTGTTCATTTCTAGTGTACAGAAATACAACTGACTTTTGTGTATTCAACTTGTATCTTTCGACTTTGCTGAACTCCTTTATTATCTCTAATACTTTTGAATTTTCATATATAAGATCACATCTTCTGCAAATAAAGACAATTTTACTTCTTCCTTCAAGATCTGGACGCCTTTTCTTTCTTTTCCTTGTCTAACTGCCCAGTACCTTCAATACAATATTGAATAGAAGGGGTGGACATCCTTGTCTTGTTCCTGATCTTCGGAGGAGAGCATTCAATTTTTCAACCATTGAGTATGGCGGGAGCTGTGGGTTTTTCATAGACGCCCTTTATTAGGTTGGGGAAATTTCCTTCTGTTCCTAGCGTATTGAGTGCTTTTATCATGAAGAGGTGTTAGCGTTTGTCAGATGCTTTTTCTACATCTCTTGAGATGATCATCTGGTGTCTGTCCTTTACCTATTGATATATGTAGTACATTAACTGATTTTCAATGTTAAACCAACCTAACAGTC